CCTCGACTTGTTAATGGACTTGAAGAACAATTTAGTATTTTGGTCACAAAAGTTGGGCTGTGACGTATACCCCTCATACGTGAAATCCGGGCCTTGCACGGGCTCATAATGGCAAGGCCTTGAGCCCATAAATACCTGGCCCAAAAAAAAAATAGACCAGTCCGAGCCTTAATATGTCGTTATTGGAAAAATCACAACACAAAATTATAGGTCTTTCTTAAGTTATTTATGTCGAAAACNAAAAAAGAGAAAAAGACATATTTTTTTGTAAGGATTAATAGCGTTCTTGTTGATTCCATTTTCATAGTAAAAACAAAATTGTTGATTCCGTTTTAAAAAATTATAGTAAATTAATAAATAAATTTAAAAGTGCGGTTCATCTAGTCTCCTTATTTCTGTAGTTATAAAACCATTGGCTTGGGGCCAAAGAGAAAAAGGTCAACACAAAGGCCTCAATCAAAATTGGCATGAATTAACTAAAAAACAGAGATATTGTGTGTTGTGTCTAAGATTGTGTTTCATTCTTCTGGTATGCATTAGCATGGCATGGGCATGCCAACAAAGTGATGAGTTATAATATTTGGAGTTAGTGTGTCTTGTTGTGACTTGACCAAGTCAAAGTGTGTAAGTAGAGAGGCTGAGGTGCACTGGGTCTGGTCCAGCATAACCTACTTGGTACCCTACTCCATAGATTCTCATTTTAACTTATTCCAATCCAAATACTGAATTTTGTTCTGTTTTTTATTTTTTTGGGGGAGGATTTGAACCCTTGATCTTAAAAAGGCATAACCTTCACAAGATAAAAAGTATCATTGAACTAAAAGTCTGTTGGTTTGTTCTGTTTTTATTTGAACAATGCAAATAGGGTATTNATAAAAAGTACCATTGAACTAAAAGTCTGTTGGTTTGTTCTGTTTTTATTTGAACAATGCAAATAGGGTATTAATTGACCCGACCTTTGGTATTTTTAAGCTTGATTCAAATTATAAGAATTAGGGTCTTTTGAGACATTTTTTTTTATTCACCGTCACAAAAAAGTATATTTTTGAAAAAAAGCAATTTTTTTGTGGCAACAATACTATCATAAAAAATTTATTTGGTGCCGCAAATATTATTTGAAATGGGTTGTTACTACCACAAAAATTTTTTTTAGACTCCACTTATTATGACAAGGTGTTCTGNGACACTCAAGAGGATAAATAAATTGGGTTGATATAAAATACGAATAATTCAATTTCGACATAAAAATTATCCAGTTTTGCTGTGAAAATAAAAATGTTTGTGTTTTTATTGATAAATTTAATAGTATTTGATTAAATAATTTTTTATTTGATTTTATTGGGATGTTGACCAATCAGGATAAGGTAAACCTTATTACCAAAATATTGTTATTTTTAAACAAAAATATTGACCTACTGCACTTTTCAATTTATTTATTGATCTGTAACAGTTTTTGAAAACAGAATCACCAATTCTGTTTTTAATAAGTGATACAACCAAAAAGAGAAAAAGACATATTTTTTTGTAAGGATTAATAGCGTTCTTGTTGATTCTATTTTCATAGTAAAAACAAAATTGTTGATTCCATTTTAAAAAATTATAGTAAATTAATAAATAAATTTAAAAGTGCGGTTCACCTAGTCTCCTTATTTCTGTAGTTATAAAACCATTGGCTTGGGGCCAAAGAGAAAAAGGTCAACACAAAGGCCTCAATCAAAATTGGCATGAATTAACTAAAAAACAGAGATATTGTGTGTTGTGTCTAAGATTGTGTTTCATTCTTCTGGTATGCATTAGCATGGCNTTTAGTTGAAGTGCTATTGTATCTTTGGGGTGAAGGCTGTGAAGCAAATGAGATTATTAAGATAGAGTGTTCTATCACTTTTGAGTTTCAAGTCCAGGGAATGTAAATTACAAATTACTGGTTACATCCCCCAACCATGCCAGTGTCAATTATGATGCATAGAGTGTTGTGTTTTNCGAATCGGATACGAGTGAAATTAATTAAAAAAAATTTACGATACAATTCATTTATTTATTTATCGGTCACATACAAGACTCTAACCAATAAATGTAAATGTTTTACAGATTACATTCAAATATTTTGGACACATAGAAATTCATATATACGGACCGAAACAAATCAATCTCCTGATACAATAAGGTAAAAGGTACAATTTTGCTAAAAATAAATCAATAAGAATAAGCAAACCAAACTAAGTATTATATCGTAATTATTAGTTGGACTCATCATACACTACAATNAGAGGAGTTCAATGTTATTGTTTTCTCATATGGAATGAGTGACGAATACAGGTACTAAATTGATTAGTAGTATATTTGTTAGTTTGTGCTTATGACCCTTGCTCTTTGGCATTTGACAATGTTAAATTTGTATCTTTCAGCTTTGTTTTGAAGAAGGGTTTTGAGTTCNTAGCTAAAAATATTGTCACTAAATACATATCTTTAATGACAAAAAATTATTATTACCACTGAGGATATGATATTCAAATTATTTAATGATCATAATTATTTATAGCCACTAAAGATATATAACTAGTGGTGAAAAATTATTATTGTCACTGAAGATATTGTAGTAAATATAGTTAGTGACAATTTGAATGTTACGACAAAAAACACATCACTAATTCGCCACTAATTCCAAATATTCAATGACAACAATTTAAATTTTTAGTGTTAAAAAATAATTATTGTCACTATATATAATATAATAAATTTAATGAGTGACAGTTTNAGACCACTAGATAAATTGGTGGTGATTTCAAAAGATTATGCTTATTTGACGAAATCAGTTGAAAAAAGTTCTTTCGGTTCATTGCCCACTTTTCTTGTAGAAGAACAGGCACTACATTGAACCACCGTTGATGGATTTTGGTATATGGTGGGTTTTTTTTTTCTATAATTTTGTGCAGCAGGCTGGGTGGGTTCTTTCTTCATTAGAACAATCATTTTGTTAGATNAATTTTTTTTTTATTGCGGCTGATTCTCAGCACTCCCATGGTTTTTGCGTGAAACTTTATATACGAGCTCAGTTCACGTGTACTCTCCTCCTCTCTCTCTCTCTCTCTTTCTCGACCTTTCTTTCTCTTGCACACTGGCCCCCTCTCTCTCTCGCAACCTCTATCTCAGACACGAGCACAAGGATCGGCTAGGGCACAAAGCCTTATCTCTCTCATCCTCTCGGTGATTGCAGAGCAGATCTGAAGAGGATGAAGCTATTTTGCAACTAATTTTCTAATTCGTTNTGAGCTTTGATACACGCATGAATATTATGGATATTCTCTATGAAAAGGAGGAGACGTCTGTTCTTCATAGTTCTCCCCGTTCTCTAGCTGCATGCATATTGGCAGGTTTTCTAAAATTTTCTACATTTACTATAGTAATCTATTGCATTTTCCCCCCTGTTTTTCTTCCTTTTAAAAGAGTTCTCAATCCTTTGCAAGTTGCTTCATATGTTATTACAGTTCCCAAACAAAGGTGGGAGTTTCCAGTTCTATGCTATGTTGTTAGTTTCTTCTCTTTTGATGTATCTTTGAGTAGTTACACATAAGCTACATGTTCAACCCCTAGTTCAAGGTCGTGATGTTGGTCGTCGACTCGGAGAGCATTGAAATGTACCGATACTGGGGAAGGACATTATGAGAATTAGTAAGACAATATCCTTCATAGTGAGAATAGAAGTTTCTTCCTTTTACATCTTATAAGTTCAACTGAGAACAAAAGAAAAAACATCTTTAAAAAGTTCAGGTAACTTTCTTTTAAGCAGCTTCCAGTCCAGCACTACATCTCTTTATCACTTAAAAATTTACGAATGTTCTATTTAGGATTGAATTGCTTTAGATATAATGGATTGTTACAAAAATTCTTATGTCATCTGTGGTTGATTGTTTATATGGTAGATAAATTTCTATTTGATCTATGTAATCTATGGTTGATTATTAATATGTTATACTCTTTGTGCTTCCTATTAATGTTGAGTAATTTTTGTTAGGTACAAATCAGTGGAAGCTCTAAAAACAGATTTGGAAGGCTCGCCTCCGAAGACTAAAGACAAAAAAATTCAAAAACCTTTCCAAAAAAGAATATGTAGTTGTGACTCGAGACTTTATGATGATTATTATGTAATTACTTTCTTTTGAGTGGGTATCATTGTGTAGTTGCAATGACAATTTGAAATGGAGATCATAACCTATTTTGTTCATTTATATTCTTTGATGATGATGCGATGTACACGTACAATTTAATGATACTAATATCAGAATATTATTTTCTCGTGATTTGATTTAAAAATTATATCTTTGAAAGTGAGTGTTTATTATGTTGTTTGTTTCCTCATTAGGTATATATATATTCATTAAATTATTATAGGTTTGTGAAATTGGGAAATATTCAACAAAAAATTCTTTTAAATATGTGATAGGTTTTTCCTGTTAATTTAAATGTATTAACCGTGATAATAAGTTGTCATTAAAAACATGTTCTATATTTTAGTAGTGATTTTAGTTATGGGTAAAATATATATTTTTAGTTGTGATTAATTATTGCCACTAAAAGTCAAATTTTAATCGGATTTTTAGTGGTAATAAGGTACATTTTAGTGGCAAAATTACGGTAATTTACTATAATAATTATTGCGGTTAAATATTTCATATTTAGTAACATTTTTTATGCTGCGGTTAAAAAATTTATTTTTAGTGGCAACAAATTAAATGTTGTAACTAAATGATTTAGCCACAGACATATAGCCGCGGCTTAGTGGCAATAAAAAAGTTGTCTCTAAAATATATAATGACAATTTTTATATATTTAGCAGCAATAATTTTTGCCGTTAAATGACAAATTTCTTGTAGTGTATAGTGAATTCGACAAAATTTTACGTAGATTGTCTAGTACCTAATACAACCCTTCTCGTTTATCTTGATTTAGAATAGATAGCGTTGAAATACCAAGAAAATAAAAATAGAAATTTGTAGATTTAATCAATGATGATCACAAGCTAGACAAGAGAAGAACTTGGAAGCAATGGACTTGGACTTTGCAGGAGGAGGCACATGATCAGGTTCATCATCTTTTGGAACACAAATGCTTGACTCATCTGCACCATTTGCCTTAGCTTTCTCGCATTCATCTGTGAATTTCTTGAATGCATTGTTAAGATACTCAACAGCCTCAGAAACAGTCATGTTCTCCACCAGTTTGTGTGGGTAAATGTCCTTCCTATGGTCTCCACACAATGTTGCAGCCATTTGTATCATCTCTCCTTGAAATTCACTCAGCTTACTGTTTCCGTCCGCCTCGGCTTCCCGGAATTTCACAGGTTCCGGCAATGTTGCTGCAACAAGCATGAAACGACCAAAGTTTTAAGTCTATAATACTTCAAAATAACAACTAATGCTATGGTACTTGAACTGGTTAAGTGTGTGTGGACATACTTATTCAAAACTCATCGCTAATTATTAAAAAAAATGTATAAAATTGTAATGTCTCAAATCCGTATTGTACAAAATTATTCATTTTAGAAAAGGCCCACATGATTTTAGAATGTATTGTATAACAAGGGTCTAAAACTAATATTTACTACACTTCATACAACTTGGATTATATCATCACATGCAAAAAAAATAAAATAATACAAATTGCATTTGTAAATGGGTATATCTTTGTATTGGGTATGACAATGAATCAGAAAAAAAAGGTATTTATCCAAACTCGCTCTTTTTGGATTGGGATAAACTATACGTATTGGACGATAGATGTATATGGGGATACTGGTATAATCCCGAATAGAGGCGGAGATGAACTGAAACCCATCCCCTCTCTACCCCGCTAAATCCGTGATATGTATATCACAAAAATACAAATCTCATCCACCCTCCCACCCACTTATTAATACACATATATAATATCACAAACCTCATCCACACACACATTTCACTTTACAAAAAAACAAATGCCTTACTTTCTCTTCTTTTTTTTTTATCCATTTATTATATAATAGACTTCCATCCTTCTTACAAAATCATTTGTGAGGTTTTTATAATATAATTTTTCAAATTTTTTCTTAAAATCATAGAAATTAATTGTTATGGACGAAGACAATAGCAGGAATGGGACCGGAACGAGGATCAAAATTTACTCATAGGGCGGAGATAGTGATTAAAATTTTCACCGCTAACGAGATTGAACGAATATTTTTAAAATGGATACAAGATGAAGCCTAGTCCCCTGCCGCGATCAACTGCCATCCCTACTTTGTACATTTCCTTCTGTTAATGAAATTCACCCACTTACCAAAAATAAAACCCTCATAATCACAGTTAGAGGTAAACTTGAGAAACTATGATAATTTGCCAAAAGAGAAGAGAGATGCCACAGAGATGATGATGAAAGTCATGAGAATAAAGCTCGAAAATTTTACCTGGACAGTCTGTTCTTGGGCTATTTCTACTCAACACATCCTCAAAAGTGCCAGCCCATGCATCACGCTTTGTTAAAAACTCTGGCAAATTGAAGATCTTCTTTACAGTTGCAGGAATTGAGGAATGTTCAAATTCTGATGTAGGGTATGGCCCCGAAGGTCCATGTAACACTGCATTTTTATTTTCATTATAGGTTAGATATCTGTAGCAATGGGTTTAGATTCTAGCTATCTTATTCAATGAAAAGGCAAGGCAGGTTTGAGCTTAGTCGTAAGTTCGTTCTATTCTAATTTAATTGTCATACATTCCAATTCTTGAAACAATCTTTAAACATATAAGATAAAGTTTAATGTATTAAACCCCGAATTGCAACCCTAATCAATATGCCAAAACTCTCAGGACTGAATAAGATAGACCAAAGATTGTAAACTCGGGTGGGCCCCAACTAGGTTCCATACATGCAAGCTAGGTCTCAGCTGAGATTCTAATAATCCACCACGCTTCAATGTTGGGAACCCTAACCAAGATGGCAAAAACTCGAGTACTAGTACATGTATTAGATTAAAGTTCTTAAACGCGAGCCTTATACTGCAAATGGGCACCACATAAGCACCATACCCAGGCTAGGCCCCTATCCAGATTTCATATCACATGCTAGGTCTCACCAAAATCCTGATACTCATGTACAAGTAATATTACGAATGTAAATTTGATCGATCATTATTGATTTTTTGATCGATCATTATTATTGATTTTATTACAAGTCCCAATATTATTATGACCCACTGACAATTCAATAGTTTTGATTCATCTGGTGTATCTATTCAGCTGCCTCTGTTCATTCATAGAAAAAGCATAGACAGCAGAGTGTTCGGCAAAATGCATACCTGTTCCTTTCTCAATCCATGGAGAGATAATGATGGCCGGAACCCTAACCCCTAACCGATCAAACTGAAAATTATATGGCTCCGGCCCCACAATACCGTCGGGACTAGGAACTCCGGTGACTGGAGTCGGGACATGATCAAAGAACCCACCATGCTCATCATATATGATTATGAACAACATTTCATTCCATTGGGGACTGGCTCTTAATGCTTCATAGACTTCCTTTATGAACTTCTGGCCCTCGAAGACGTCGTGAGACGGGTGGTCGTCGTTCCCCGGAAAGATTTTCAGGTCGTAGAATCGTTGCTCGACGACCACGTAGTTTGGTAGCTTCCCCTCCTTACAGTGCCTCTTGAATTCCAAATCAAACGGATGGAACATGTTTATGTATTTCAACTTTCTAAGGTTCCTGATAACAAGAAAATATTTCAATTACAGAATTAGAATGTTGCTTTTAAAATTTTAAAAAATATATATAAAATCTTAATGCACCAGACTCTCACTACCATGAGATTTGAGAAATAGTTTTGAATGCCAACTGCAGGCAGTCTCTAATTATAGCTTGTATATAAGCACTTGATTAACTGTGGTGAAAAGAGTTATTGGGTGAATAGCCATAGTGATCTTCTTTCTTCGTGTATATGTTCGACTTGAATTTTAAGACGTACCTTGAGTGGTGACAAAAGATAAGATGTAAATTCAAATATCTTGAGTTCGAGTTTTGACAACTCTTTAAAATCATCCCTCATAAATACCCTAATTTTAATGTGAATGGTCTGTCTTTGACCAGATCGAAAAAAGAATTAGTCGAGGTACGTGTAAGTTGATCTGAACACTCCTACAATTGAACTAAAAAATATATGTGTACACACACACACATATATTATGTTACCTATTTGCTAGTTTTATGAAACATTAAATTTCTTCAATTTTTAGAATTACCATTATAGAATGCAACTCAATATAGTCCCTTACTTTATCATTTTAATTCCAATCTAATTTATTGGAATAAGTTATAAAAATCAGGATTTCATTGTCCTAAACCAAAAATGATAGGATTTAATGATATTTTATAGAAAAAATGTGATATCTATCAAATATTTTTGGGGTGAGAGAGCTTGAGAAGCCTACTCTCTACAAATGTTTAATTTATAAATTTTTGAAATATTTAATTGACACCGTCCAATCAAATTGTTGCATTTACCTTATTTAACAACTTTCTCCATATTTTTTAATTACTCCCACTATCTTTTAAAATTATTTTAAATTTAAATTAAGAAAAATTATAACGACCATTTAGATCCGCAAACAAAGGGTTGGAGCCCGGAGGTTACGGGTTCCATGGTTTAGGTGTCAACAACCAACCATCGAATGATTAACTACAAATTTATCAAAAAAAAAGAATGATTAACTACAATAGAAATAGCTATATGTGCATGCAGGATCTTGCACAATATAAAAAACGAGAACAGATCTCTTCCTTGGTGAACTCGAGTGAGTCAGCTGAGTGGTCAACTACGCTGCTTGAGACAGCCTGTGAGGTCCAGTGGTGACCTGGAAGGGCAACGGGAGACCCTCGTGGATTGAAAGAATGATCCAGTAAGGCTGGAGAAAGGTTCCTAGAACAAAGAAGAACAAGTTAGAAGGGCGCCGGAGTGTTTTCCGGCTTATCCCCTCCGACGATCAAGTCAGTTTTTGAAAGGGAGAGGAAGAAGAAAGCACTGAGTATATTTCGTAGTAAAGAGTTTTTTTGTTGCATACCGTTTTGCCTTTTACGAGGAGTATTTATACCTCAAAAGCTCATGATTGCTGTCAATGTTGTCAGTAGATGATCATTAGGTACAGGCAGTGTGCGCACTGATTCTGATGAGGAATGTCTTCTCTTCTTTAACTGCTCGGAGTCCCGAGCAATCAATTCTGTGTCATCGGACTGCCGACTGTCCAATGAGGTTCATTCGGGGAGGATGCAATAAATGTCCAGCCTTAGAGACATTTATTGTCTTTCAATTCCGAGCCTTANAAGCAATCAATGATGTGTCATCGGGCTGCCGACTATCTAATGATCTCCACTCGGGGAGGATGCAATAAATGTCCAGCCTTAGATACATTTATTGCCTTTCAATTCCGAGCCTTACTGCATTGAATGCGGTCTCATCAACAGAATGGTGTAATTAAATGTTTGCTTTCCCAAGTCGCGTGTCAGTAAGGGCATGCGGTCTTTCTGCCTCTGATGTGACACAATTTGCCACGCATCCATCCCTCATTGGCTGTGGATCCTGCCTTCCTGTTCCTTCTGACACCAATTGTGTAAGACGAGACCATGATAGCTAATCCAGACTAGCCTAGGCTAATGACCTGTACATCAATAGCTTATACTGGAGCAGAGAAAAAGGCATCCTGGACGGGATACATCTCGGTAGCGAGGATAGGTACATCTTGGTACCGAGGATAGGGTTCATCTCGAGTCGAGGGAAGCTGTACATGACGACCGAGGTACCATATCAGATCGAGGGATACGTGTCGGTTCGTAAAACGTTCTTGACCACGTGTCAAGTACCTCGGGAGAGAGAGAGTTTGTAAGCCGATAGTACGTGATCTCAGTAACAGAATTTTTAATAACGCCGAAGACACGTATCTTTATCTTAGTCCCATCACTGTATTAATTAAATGGGTCCCACAGGTATGGCCAGCACGCCGACGTCATCTCATTTTTTTGACAAGTATCAATGGTTGGTGGATTTAGGTTTTTTTTTAAAAAAAAAAAAAGGTTGAACAATGGTTTGCATAATTTGAGAAAAAAATTATTATATAGATTGAAATATGATAAATTCTTCTTTAGTTTGATCTAATTGTTTTTTTGGTTTTAGAATTAATTTTTTGATCTAATCACTCACTGTTATTGGACTCACTATCGATTTAATAATTGTAATAAATTGGGACAATATATTAGATCCAAATAATCTAAAAGAGTGTGAATAATCTAAGTCATGAAAGATTTATTCTTTATAAATATGTTAATTTTGACATAAATGACTTGTCTTTGACCAGATTGAAAAACGAATTAATTGAAGTACGTATAAATCGGGTTGATCATCCCTAACTATTGAACCCCAAAAAAAAAAAAAATTTATCCTAAAGAGTTGTCTCTATGCTTTTCTTCTTTAAATCAGTTTCAATCTTAAACTTATTCTAATCACGTGTGTATTGTACTCATAATTAAAACATAAATTTTGGAATGTATATCATCATTCATAAATCAAATGTATTGATTTAACTAAAACCTCTAGGACTTCTATACGAAGTTTGTCGTAATTGTGCACATCTTGAATTTACGTTAAATTTTATGAATATAAAAATATGTTTTGAACTATTTTGGTTGTTAAAAACACAAAAGAATACACTTTTGGTTAATAAAATATATTTTTGATCTCTAAAGTACTAATTTAGTGTCACTTTGGTCCTCAATTTTCTAATTGTGTCTATTTAATTTCCTAAAATTTTTATTTTTGTATCTATGTGATTCAATTCTAAACGTTCGTTAAAAAAAATCGTAATAGTTTTAGTCACGCATCAATCATGTTATTCCTAACTTTGAATTTATTTGATCCCTAAAGTTTGTCATTTAGTCTATTTTGATCTATAAAATTCCTAATTTATATTTATTTGGTCCCACATAATTGGCGTCTGACCAAAGTTGTTAACAATATTCTAATGGACGTTTGAGATTAGACAAAATAGATACAAATTAAGAATTTTAGAAATTAAATAGACACAATTGAAAATCAAATAGCACTGCATGCATATTTTAGGGACTAAAAAGTGTATTTTACCCGGAATAATATACACAGAAATTACCTGTAGAATAGAGTTGATGGAGGATTCTGAAAATAGATCCCAAAACTGTAACCAGCCTCATCCATTGATTCAAATATAGTCTTCTGAGGGAACCCTTCAATCAACTGCATAGTATTATTACTAGTAGCACCATGCGATGTAGCAGAGTGCACAAACAACCGATTCGGCTGTGTCGACGCCGGAACCGCCGCGAACCACCTATCACAGACCGCAAACTCCGATACCAACTCTCGATAAACCGGAACAGAAACCGGTTTAAACCCATTCATCACAGTCTCAGACATACCCTTCTGAATGCGCTCTGCATTTTGAGCAAAGCCTTGCATGGTCGGTTTGGGTTGCTTGTAGGCCACGTCTTGGCTCCACGGAACCCCAAAGAGTTGTTCGAAGATGTCTTGGATGGAGTGACCCGGATCAGGGACAACGTAGGCGGACCGGTCACCGAAGAAAAGGCGGTCGGAATTGGGGTCGGAGGTGGAGATAGGGTTTGATTCTATGCCCGTGACGCCATTGATTTCTGGGTTTAGGGTTTTCATCCAACCTAGCATGTGATCAAATGACCGGTTTTCTTGGACTAAAACTACCACTGTTTTGATGGGGTAGGGGTTTGGAGTTTCTGAAGCCATTTCTGGTGTTCTTCTTGCTTTGGCTAAGTGTGATGGAATGGAGTGCTTCTGGGTTTGGTGTTTTGAGTTGGTTAGGTTAGGTTACCTTTTATGGTACTTCTTTGCGTGTTTGAGTGTGAATGTGACTGAGAGAGAGAGAGAGAGAATCCAAGGAAAGAGTTTCATATGAGCAATGCTAGCATTAAGTCTATCTAGAATTAAGTCCATGTAGTTTTTAATTATAATTTTTAAGTTTATCTAGTATTATTTTTTTAAAATTTGGTGATTAATCACTTTAGTCCTTATTTAATCTAATTTGTAACGGTTTTGCCCAATCTGCAAAAACAATTTAAATTAACTGAGAGAAATGGTAATATGTTTAATGGGACCACACTTGAGGATCACTTTGATCCTTTAAGTTTATAATTTGTACATTTTGATCCCTTAAGGTTGCTATTTATGACACCTTCTTTTGAAGAGAAAGAGACAGACATTTTGATCCCTTAAATTTGTTATTTGTGTGAGAGAGAGAGAGAGAGAGATGAAGTGGGAATCATAAGAAAAAATATTTGGCGTAATCGTTACACTATGTTAACAGATCATCCCCTAATGAATAAAAAAGTCTGCAAGTAAGCCCCACAAAAATTCATAGGATAATACTAGATAGACTTAAAAACTAGATTTAAAAATTAGACTTGATAATCTCAATCATTGAATAGGTAGTGGATCCCAATAAATGCTGGGACCCACAGTGAAATCAATGGTTGAAATTATCAAGTCTAATTTTTAAATCTACTTTTTAAGTCCATGTAATACATAACCACTTTTATTATAAAAAATGAGTCTCATTTCATCTATTTTTTTAATTTTTTTATTAGATGATTATACCATATCAGTATTTTTATGCAGGAGTAATTTAAGTATTAAAAAACAACTATATACTATATATACCTTATAGTCCATCACAAATATTGTATTCAAAATAACAGCGAAAATGGACATGCACCTAACATATTCTCTTGCTCTTGTGATGATTATTATACATAAAAAAAAAACAAATTACACCCAGAATTTTGTCACAAGCTGGTGAGTAGAGCTAAAAAATTGTCGCACGGCCTGCTTTTTAAGGTATAAATTTAATCTTATCCATTACGGTTATGATCAAGTCCGCTTGATGTTTTAATAAATTGGTCGTGTATGAATTGATTCAATTTAGAGACTACACAATTTAAATATTAAGCTAGTTCAATACAATACGACAATTCCTTATTACCCATTGGTTCGATTTAAAATTGACAAGAATTTACATATTTTACTATTATTTAAATGGGTTTGAGTGTAAACATGACAAGTCTTGTGCGACTTAAACACTAGACAGGAAACAAAGTTCTGGTAGCGAAGTCATATGACAATTTTTCTAAGTTCCAGTGTTCTAAATTTAGTTCTAATCCTGCAACGACTTCTTGTTGAGAGTGGTTTAGGTTTTACCTCGAGGATAGGAGGAGTGTTACGTTACCAAAATTTATTTTTTTTAATATTTATTTTCATTTTTTGTTTAATAAAAAATTGAAACATAAAAATTTATTTATTTGATAATTTTATCTCCTTTTTTTTTTTTGCTAATTAGAAGTTCTAAATCATTAAAAATCAAATCAATAACTAGAATTGGATTTCAAGTCGATACCGTAGCGTCATCTCAAGCGATATTTATTATTTGAATAAAATTATATTGGCCAAATTTATTTATCAAATAATGTGTCAAAATCTTATATATTAAATATTTGGTGGAGTTAATGAACCTCGTTATTTCAATCATTTGCACTAATTCAAAATATAAAATTTAATAAATAATTTGGTAAAAGCTCGCTCTTATTATTTAAATAAATGACCTTGAAGGTAGTTGGGGCACATGAATGTCCAACGACATCTCCTCCACTAACGTGCATGTCATTGTGAGGATGGCCATGACGTAGAAGAAGATCGTGCAAGTTATACCGAGGAATATATAAAGCATATGCTATGCGTGTGTTATATGGATATGGATATATACACTCTTTCATGTGTCATCAATTATATCAGCAGTTATATTTGTTTGGCTTTCTCCCAAAAAAAAGAGAAAGAAAGAAAGGCCGAATTTAACTATGGTACCGAAAAAATACCATTCATTACCATCGTTAAGGGTGTTAATTGAGACAAGTTACTCGGACTTAACTTAGATAAGATTCGATTCGATTCGAGATCGACTTGTATTGTAAATAAAGTGAGTTTGGACAAATTTTTATGCTCGTTTAGAAAATAACTCTAAAAAATTCGATTCAAGCTTGTAAAACTCAGGTCATTTATATACGTACAATAATTGAGCTATTCGGGTTTGACTCGATTNTAAAAATTCGATTCAAGCTCGTAAAACTCAGGTCATTTATATACGTACAATAATTGAGCTATTCGGGTTTGACTCGATTTCTAAACAAGCCGATTTTAAACAATTTTTTAGCCTCGTTTAGAAAAATGAGCTCATAAGGCTCAAATTTAAACTCGTAAAACTCGGTTTGAGTAATACTCCTAACCATTGTTTACAATGTCTATTTTTTTTTTGCTAGTTAAAAGGATGTTCAGGAGTGACCAGACGTAGCAATTCCATCAGGACGTTATCTTGAAGTTCTCATTTACTGTAAAATGTTCGGTTTGAACCATAACTATTAATTTAAGATGGTCGAGTCCATCACCACAATACCACTGAAGATAAATTCAACCTCTCCAACAGTATTTGATTAGCAAAAACTACTATCCCAAGCGAGTTCGATTTCATGACTACTAAAGGAGGGCGGGACATTCAACTTCTAGTAAAAACCAACTAGGTTACCACCTCAGTGATTCTTTTACGACGTCTATACTCCCTTTTGAGCAGGGCAACTTCTTTTAGGTTCATTTTTCATTTTTCTGGAAAGTTAAGTGTTACATTTCAATGAAAAAAGATACACAAGGTATGATCTACCACAAAGAATAAACGCGCAGTCCATAAAGGAGAATGGTATCCAGACAAAACAAGTAAGAACAACAGGAAATTTCCAAGCAAATTCTGTAAGGAGTGCGATTGTTGCTACGTACCCCTGACAGATTTGCTTTACAAAATGATTTCAAGACAACAAAAGATCCACACAATACATCATACGAGACAATTGCTTGGCAGTTGCCATCTACTACTCTCCGGAAGATGACATATTTATGTCGATTTCATATTGGATATTGACACTTTTTAGACACGTATCCGATATTTTTTTATTAGTTTTCATAATTAAATAAAAATATTTTAATTTTAGACACATAATTGAAACTTCTTTGGTGACGTGTTCGACACTTCTTTAAACCGTGTCTATTACTAAACATGTTAAAATTGTACTCAAAATATAAATAAATAAAAGATTTTCAACGAAAATAATTGAGAATATGAGAGCAATTATTTAAATTATATATGTTTAGTACATATCTACGAAAAAATTAATGATTATTAACTATTATGCAGTCCAAAAATTCACGTTAGATGACTAAACATTACATTTACTATAATAAAGTACTATTTTTTTATGAGTAATATGTCATTATCACCATAGTTGTGATAAATTATATAACTTTAAATATAAAACACAATTATTTGTAGTATGTCCTCAACGCATTCATATCTTATTTTTTTAAGAAATATCGTGTCTTTGTGTTCATATTGTATTTCAACAGTACTACATCTTGCTCAAGGGTTAGCTCTAATCCCAATTCATTTTTTTTGAGCTATTTAAAAAAGAGGTAGAGACAAATAAGAGTGCTCAGAGAGTACGCTGCTAGACCTTTACTAGTGGGATCATGAGAGCACTTATTGCGTCTATTACTCTTCTTAAAAATAAACCTAATTAAACTAGCATAACAGTCGACAATCGAGTTTCAATGTGAATTCTAAAACTCCACCTTTCAATCTCAAAGTAAAAAAATTCTATCAGTGCCCTATTGGACCACCCCAGGCAGTGATATCTCTAATCCCAATTCACTTGTGGATCCGAAAGAATATGTTTCTGTCTATAAACAATTTCTTTTTTCTTTTTATTGGGAAGAATATTTAAGTAACGAGAAATTATTAAATTAAACAACTTACAGACCCAGGTGACCCATACATTCTCTAAATCATTGTGTTGTTCCTACATAGGAAGCACAGACACGTACTTTGAGTATAGTATAAATACGACGATACGATAAAATTTAAAAAAAATAAAATATGGGTACAATCGAGATAGGTTTATAATAAAATCTATTTTATATTTTTTTATTATTTAACGACTTAAAAAATTATAATTTTTAATAATTCTTTAACAATAGTAAGCAAAATTAAGAATTTTTAAGTTAAAAAAGATGTGATATCGTCTTATTATGATATATACATAAAATGGTGTGGTATCTAAACACTCTCCTTTACCCCCACCCCTTTACATAGTATAAAAAAAATGTTGATTTGTTTACAAATATTTGTTGTTAAGATATAGTGTAACTAACTCATTTTTTTATACTCTATTGACATGTAATAATATATAATACTTAGAAACACTTGTGTTTTCAAAATCAGATGAAATTTTATCAAAGTTTTGTGTTGTATGTGAACTCAATCTTACTCTATGTTTAGATATATTCGCGAAGAATTTATATATTTTATTAATAAATAGATACGTATGATACACATCTAATATATATTTTTGAATATCCTACAAATATTATATTTGATATAAATACTTGAGCATCTGAGGAATAATTCTGGAATCAAATTCATAACATAAGATGATTAAATGCATTGGTAGGTCTTATTTAAATATTTTAATCCATGTGTTAACACTAATCTTTTATTCATACTAGAACAACCGTATATGCAATGCATGTGACTCACCTGCCCACATAGAGAGAGAACAAGAAGAAATGAGAAACTTCTAGAGAAAATATTCATTATAATGGTGACATCACATTAGTATTGTCACGTAATATTATCAATCAACGCAATTCTCAATCCATTTACTATTCAAATATGTTAATCCATGAATTTAGGAATCTAATTCTCATTCTCAACAAAAATTACTGTCATCCAAACAAGGCCTTAAGGCAGGTCAAAGAGTCGAAGAATCTTTCGAACTTAATCACTTTTTAATTTGAGTTGAAAATTAATCAATCTTAGTTAGATTTATTTAATTAATCGTGTCAGTATCTTAATAGTAATGAGAAATCCAAAAATAATGTATGTTTCTCTCCAAACCAAACCCACTATATACAGGCACCTTAGGTTAAAAATTCATTTGACATGGATGCTTTCATAAATAAGTATAAAATCATTTAATTCTACAAATATTGATACCCATCAAAAGTGAAAAAAAATGTAGAAAAATAAAAAAAAAGTAGACATTAATGTCTTCATACAATACTAGTTAAATCGGTATATAGTGCCAAGATTGAGTTATTCATTTTTGACAATGAAATTTTTTAATATAAGGAACTTCTCATTCGTGAACCTAGAGGAGGTAAGTAGGTTAATTCAAAATTAAGGTTCGTACTACCATCATTTTATAACCTAAACAACCACAATTTCTAAATTAAATGATTAATTAGTCAATTAAGTGTTTTAACCCCTTTTAATCACAACAAGAATAACTCTCATAAATAAATGGATGGTAAGTGTATGTAATTGTTAATTATAATATTCCAATCAATCATTCGATCCCTTCAATGAGCCAACTTCCACAAAAACTAACTCGATGAATGAATTGAGTAAATCAATTGAAATATCAATTCATCAAACATTGTGTTTGTAATTACAAGCGAGTGTATGTGTTTGCAAAATTAAAGCAGTAAAATATCAACCACAACACAACTATTGCTCACGCGAAAACCTTTTTGGGAAAAAACTGTAAAACCAGCACCCAGTTCATTTAACTTAATCTACTATTTCAAAATTAATTTACAAGTAATCGAATTTTATACCTCAACTAATTTGCCAAAGGTTAAATGCTCATTTTCATTTTAAATCTCTTCTCTAGATATTACCTACCGAAGTCTTGAGTAGCTCCACTTGAATGCACTTGTCGTGATGAATCGTTTTAGGCCTCGAGCAATCTTTAAGATCTCATTCTTCAATTTGTGAAGTTGAATCAGAGGAATCAAGACCGGTTGACATTTGGACCTTAGGGATGATTGTTCTCGACTCTATAAAGGTTTAAGAGGCTGCTTTGAGGCTTACAATAGAGATACCCTAGCTTGGAATAATTTGCCCCATTTATATAATCAAAATTTGAGTAGACCTGAGGACCAAGTATACTTAAATTCACGAATGATAGCTCGAGCCATTAAAGAGCAGTGGGAGGGCGGTTGGTACTGGAATAAAAAAAGGATTCAATCCAGTTCATTGGAGCAATGATCACTTGGGTTGTCTGAGGTCTGTTCGAGCCGCCTACAGACCGCTCGAGTGGCCTAAGAACGGCCAACTTGTCAGCGTTTCTCTAATTTTTTTTTAAGTGTTCAAAGACAACTCTAGCCGAAGACAAGCAAATAGAAGGAGGTCTCTATTGGCTTCTAAATTAAAAAATAAGCAAAAACTTGACCAATTGAAAACTAAAGAGTGTTGCTAAAATAAAATCTATTACATAACTCACCCTATATTTTCAAAACAAAAATTGATGTCTAAAAAATTATTTTTATGAAAGCCTAAGAGTCACGAATAGTTCTAAATCTATTTCAATTAACCTAATTAACCAAAGTTTAAAAATAAACCAAGGGTTCTTAATTAGGTATCTTGGTATTCCCCTTTATCCTAATCTCTTGAAGATGCATTGGAGATCTTTTGATTCAACTTTAAAGCTTGAGCTCCTCCTTCCTCAAAACTTTCAGAACTTGATTTTTGAAGTATCAAGGCCATGAATTTAGATTGAGATTTACATCAATAACTCATAAAATTAGCCAATTATCATTAATTTCCCAACAGACACTAAGATGACCTTTTTATTATTCATATTAATGAGTCGAATCATTTTTGAGTTTCTGATGAGAAGTAATCAACCTAAAAATTAATTCATTTTTTAGTTCAAAACGTATCGTGTCATAAAATGCCACCCTTAGTGTCCATTAATTATAATCCACCCCACCCCAGAAGCTCTTTTTAATCAATCATTAACATCAACACTTAATCAGTCAACAAGAACATGATGAATGGGTTCTCTTTCAATACAAAAATCTCTCATTAATTATCACAAACTAAACATGAAAATATCTTCTGGGCAAAGGACTTGGTTGATCTCCTTTTACTTGGGTTTGCCAGACAAACTATATGAGATTCATCAGCTCCAGCTTTAATAGCATTCTCACATTCATCTAAGAAGTTCTGAAATGCCTCTCCAACATAGCCAACAGCCTCTACAACTCTCATGTTTTCAACTATTTTGTGTGGATAAATGTCCTTCACATGGTCACCCTTCAATACCGCAGCCATTTGTACCATTTCTTGTTGATATTCACTGAGTTTTGCCTCTTCGTTTGGTCCGGTGTCTCGGAGCTTCACCGGCTCCGGCAAAGTAACTTCACATTCGTGAATGGTTCAAGATTTCAGTACATATAATGAAAAAGGATAATGATACTTAGACCTCAATTACGAGTAATGTTAGATGGGATTTACTAGCAATTTAATAAAAATAATCGATTAAGCCAACAAATTAAATTCTAATAGCATCGTAGCATAGAAAATGTCTATACTATATAAATAATACTGAAGAATAGGGAAAAGAAATATCACAACAGGAGTACATCACTAAAACAATTAAGGTTTTCAGTAGCTAAAAAATTCCTTCTAAAGGACTGTATTTAGTCACTAAAGGGATTTAGTGACGACAACAAAACCGGGTCATCACTAATTACCTTTACAAACAAACTAGAATGACCGTCATTATTTCTACACTTTTTGTTGACAATACTTTTTCCTCACTACAAAAGCAGCATTTGGTGACAATTTATAACAACTTTAATGAATATTTGCGTCACAAAAAACATTCAAATTTTGATAAAAATAGCCATATATACCTTGGTGTAACAGAAAGTAGGTAAAGAATCAGAAATTTAAACATTCTAATCTCACCTATTTCATACTTGTTTTCACTAGACTTTGTTAGTCGAGGTGGGCTAGTTTTGAGCTTTATCATAACATCTTATTTTCGGATGTACGTTATAGAGTTTCTCTTCTAAAAACTCATCCATGTATGCACAATTGTCGCATGTTTTGAGTTTTATTATATATCTTTTCTTTCTGATTAACAAAATTATTTACCTTCCAATGGAAATAGTAAAACATGATATAAAATTAAGGGGAAAGTTAAATTTGGCCTACTATAGTATCCATTAAAATGTAAAATCTCCCATTGTGTAACTATTTTATTTTTAAATTGGAAAAAAGGGGAGGGGTGACCAGTAGGTATTAACCTCCTAGGCGTGACCATGAGAGTCCCCTCATTATGGAATGTCCAGTTTGAGCAATAGCTACTAACCTGCCCGTCAACATAGTATCACCAAAGTCAAGTAATAAACCACATTACTCTCGTGAATCGAACTCTGCTTGATAACCACATGAGAATTAAAGACGACTTTAAATGGATATGACTAGACCACTAGCTCGAATGGTCCTTATTTAACCATTGGAGATACTTGTTTTGCTGTGTGTGTCAAATTTCGACTTTGGGATGTTAATAATACACCATTGAAGATCCTAGAACAGAGCAAAAAAAGAAAGAAAAGAAAGCTGAAGTTCTGTTGAATTACCTGGACAATCTGTTCTTGGGCTATCCCTGCTAAGAACAACATCAAGAGTGCCAGCCCATGCATCTCTCTTTGTCAAAAACTCTGGAAGATTGAAAATCTTCTTGACAGTTGCTGGAATTGAGGAATGCTCAAATTCTGATGTAGGATATGGCCCTGGTGGTCCATGCAGCACTGCATTTTTATCATCACTACGTAAGTTCTCTTTATTGTATGAAAAACCGGTGATATATATAAACTCGAAAACAAAAAACAGTAAGTGAAAACAGAAAAATCGATCCACCTATATGAACTGGGTCCCACTTGTTTTGATGGTGGATGATACAATACTGACCAAAATTGAGAAAAAAAAATATATTAAAAGGTATCTGACTCTAGGTTTCTTTGGATCGATCCTAAATCGACTCTAGTGGATCTAGATCTCCTCTAATACAATTTTTCTTAATTTTTTTTTATGGTAGATCATCTATCATAAATTTAAGTAAGACCCTGATGCATAATTTTGATGAGCTTGAAAATGAAAATATTTCGATAATATTTTGAAAACAATACGAAAACAAAGAAAAAATTGAAAATTTATTTCCGTAACATGGGTCAAAAACATGCCGAAATATTTCAAAACCTACCGAAACAACTCGATACATCTTGAAACATAGAAATTTTGATATTCAATTAATGATTCGTTTCGATTTCTATGAAAACCAAAATGTTTCGGATGTTTCGATTATTTCGAAGCGAAATTTAGTTCCTTGTCCACTAGGTTGATGGATGATAAACCATCAAGAAAAATTGAAAAAAAAAAAAATTAGAGAAAATTTTACTCTGTTTGATCAAATTGGATCATAACCTCTGATATGACACTGAAGAGTTAGGGTAAAAAAATCTATATGAGGATGTAAGACATGGACATATAATAATAATTAGACCTACCAGTTCCACGTTCAATCCATGGAGATATCAAGATGGCCGGAACCCTAACCCCAAGCCGATCAAACTTAAAATCATACGGTTCAGGACCAACAATGTCATCGGGACTTGGGACTCCGGCGACTGGAGTCGGGACATGATCATAGAAACCACCATGTTCATCGTAAATTATGATGAACAAGATTTCATTCCACTGTGGACTTGATCTCAATGCTTCATAGACTTTCTTAATAAATTTCTGTCCTTCAGAGACATCATGAGAAGGATGATCATCGTTCCCAGGTAACAGTTTTGTCTCGAAATATCTCTGTTCGATTACCACATAGTTTGGTAGTTTTCCCTCCTCGCAATCCTTCTTGAATTCTAGGTCAAACTGGTGGAAGTTCTTTATGTATTTCAGTTTTCTCATGTTCCTATCAGAGAGAAAACTTTAGGTTAGAATGAACTAACATTATGCATCATATGCAAATTTCCCATAGCAAACCACATGATAAGATTTATATTCATTTTTATTGTGGAACACTCTTAAAAGAACTTGTAGTCATGAGTTCCTAGTTAAAGTTAAACTGGAGCTATGAACATATATGGTAGTGAACACAGTGAACGGAGTTAGCGGGTAACACAGTATTGTTGAATGTGCCGACTTTATTGATGAGTTCTTTTTGTGAAATCACTGAGTGAGACTAGCAAGTTTAGGTTAAGAGTGCAACTGAGACATGTTGGACAGATTCAAATCAACCAAAATTATAAAACCCTCAATTCAGATTCGTCCTTCAATCATAATCCTTCAACTCGATCATCAATTGAATGCAGGCTGGCGGAGAGAAGGATCCATTCTAGAAATGTTTAACCAAGTAGATGCTAAAAAAGCAATCGATTCGCTTTTTGTCTGTCACATCTGTATTCAGTCAATCAAGTTCGAATAAGACTTGACGTGACCAAAGATAGAATGATTCGACCATGTTGGATGCTAGTAAGAAGCTAGGAAAGAGTAAAAGTGAGACGTCCGTAAGAATCTCAATTCTATGTTTAATTTTAAATCCGACTAAAATCTTTTTCATTCAAAATCAACCTAAATATTGAAACAATCTATTGAAGTACTGAATATTTTCGAGTGGGATTCAAACCGACCTGTCGAAATTGCACCCCTAAATCAACAGTAACGAGTAAGTAAGAATAAGCAAGCAGCTATTAAAAACTAACATCAAAAGCATTGAAAAAACAACAGTCGTCAAGATTAAAAGATAAGAAAACAGCCATTAAAAACTACAAGCAAAAGCATTTAAAAAAAAGCCATCGTTATCGTTAACATACTGGTCATATTCCACCTACTAATTTTAATTATTGAATAAAGCACATGGTCGGCCTAGGCATTGTCAGCTGGGCCCCAAGCATTGCATGTGACCTTTTTTTTTTTTTTTTTTTTCTTATGTTCAATGGTCTAGGTGTTCAAGTCGGTTCACCTTAATTAATCTTTTTTTTAATTTAATCAAAAATAAGTCATTCACACCGAAACTAAGATATTCATAATAGATAAATTTTTCATGATCTAACCTATCAAAAAATTATCAAAATTTAAATTCAAAATATTTAAATTTACGAGTCGTTTATGTTATCATCAACTTAAACTGACCCTCGAGGTTGCATGTGACTTTTGTCAAACCTTAGGTTTAAATATTTGAATTCTTGTTGGAGGCATCATCCATCCCCAGTTGAGAAACTTGACCAATACTTTTAAGGTAACTAGTTTTTCTTCTTAATCATAAACCATAGGATAAATACAGCTAACATTGACCTCTTTAATCAAATTTCAATCATATCCCAATAGATCTAAAATAGAAAAATGAAGATATATAGATTGATAATTAATATGTATCCAATCAATGACTAATGGATGGGGTTGGTAATCTTTCATACAATTCAAAATTGGACACAAAAATGATACAATATTAATAGGTATGATTTTGGAGTCGACGAATTTGAAATATAAACAAGTTGACCATCTAAACGAGAAACCGAAAAGTTTGTAATAGTTAAATCACGATTATGTAATAAATGAGTCAACAAAAATTTAATTAAATACGACACGAATCTAGATGAAAATGAATAGTCGACATTATATAATTTTAAATGGGTTGAATATAGATTTCATAAATTTTGAAATAACACGACTTTAGAATATGATAACCCAACTTACTAACAACATTACCCGACAACACATCAACATTAAGCATGACTTGATTAGAATAACCAGCGAGAATGCAAGAAAAAAAGTTATGCTCATCACCTGTAGAAAAATATAGTTGAGGGGTACTGACTGTAAATTCCAAAAGACAAACCAGCTTCATCCAACGACTCAAAAATGGTCTTCTGTGGATACCCTTCAATCAACATCTTATTGTCATTAGCAATGGCGCCATACGACGTCGCAGAGTGAATATACAGCCGGTTTGGTTGAGTCAACGTCGGTATAGACGAAAACCACCGGTCGCAAACTGCAAACTCTGACACCAACTCTCTGTAAACCGGGATTGACCGCGGTTTGAACCCATTCATCACCACCTCCGACATTCCTTTCTCTATAGTTTCAGCTTGGTGGGCAAACCCTTCCATGGTGGGAGGAGGATTTTGGGAATATGATGATGAGTCAGAACTCCATGGAAGGCCGAAGATTTGCTCGTATGTTGCTTCGAAGGAGTGACCTGGGTCCGGTTCGACGTAGCCGGACCGGTCTCCGTAGTACACCCGGTTCGAGGTGGGGTCCGAAGTGGAGATAGGGTTTGATTCTGTGCCGGTGACGCCATTGATTTCTGGGTTTAGGGTTTTCATCCAACCTAGTATGTGATCAAATGACCGGTTTTCTTGGACTAAAACTACCACTGTTTTGATGGGGTAGGGGTTTGTGGTTTCCGGAAGCATTGTTGTTTGGTGGTTTTGGATTGTAAAGTGAGTTGAGAAATGGTAGTATTCTCACTCAAGGGAAGGGGGGAGAGAGAGAGTAGGACTGCCGAAGAAAACAGTTAAGTGGGAAGAAAGATGAGGAATCCAGCAACTCAAGGTTGTATTTTCTAGTTGACCATCGTTTAAAGATCTATAGCAAAAAGTTTATATAATAAAATAATTTACTATTTAAATATCAAAAATAAATAAAATAATTTTTATATTTCGTAGATCATATTATTTTAAATTTTACTTTAAAGTTAATTTAACACCTAATATTAATATCCTAAATTTAATAGGAAAAATAGGCTCTAAGGGTGTGTTTAGAGTAACTTTTTAAAAATAATTCTACAAATTATTTATCATAAATACTTTAAAAAAAATATTGTTTGAAACTGTCCCACCACTACCTCTACCACCCCTATTACTTATCACCACCGCCGCCACCGTCGCTACCACCACAGCCACCATGAACGTCGTCACCACCACTGCCACTGCCACCCCACCACCCTGTCACCGTCGTTGCCACCGCCACCATTATTATCGCCACCACCAACGCCACTGTTGCTGCCACCACAACCACCATCGTCGTCGTCGCCACCACCACGATCCATTGTCACCCACCACAATCATTACTGTTTCCTACAACTATCACTGTCGCCCACCATCTCTCAACCCCTACTACAACCAATGTTTAAATTCATTTATCTTTTCTCTATATTTATGATTTGATTTTAGATATGAATACAAATATATTTATTATTTACTATTTTTTATTATTTTGTGTTTTTAGGTACAAACAATATCTAGTATATATATAAATTATAATAACATAGTATGTACGAATTATACACTTACATTTGGGCCCCCCAAAAAAATTATATATTTATTATGCCCATTCCCTCGTCAATGACACCATGCATATACCAATGTATAGTTAGTTGGAATTGTACAAGGTATACGTTCTTTAAATTAAGAGTAATGTTATTTAGACTTAAAAATCGAATTTTATTTGTTGATTTGATTCATTATAACCTTTGGATTAATTGTAAATCTCATCAAACATTGAAACTTACTATTTATTTAATAGTTCCAATAAAATCATCCCATCAAGTCAACAAATTAGGTCAGAAAAAATATCCAAATAATATTACTCTCAAATTAATGGTTGTAAGTGTAACTTAAACTTGAATACATACAATCATCACTAAGTTACATACATCAATAAACTTAGATTTTATTTTAAAATTTTAAACTTCGGAGCTTATAAATCACCTATTATTTGACCACTGAACCATCTGGAGCAGGTTACACAGTTTTACAATGGCACACACAACCTAAGGTTCCCTTCCCAACAGTTTGATTGGGAGTTGGGAGCTGGAGCTTGCTTGTCGGGGGGATGGAAACCACGTGCTGTAAGTGCAACTCCAATGGTGTTTTCCTTCTTCTAAGGATCAACATGGTCCTGATAAGTTGCAGCTGGAAGTGAGGCTCTCAATTGGTATTTGTAGTTACTGAATTTTGGGGTTGGAGAGCATACATTTTGTCAAATGTCTTGTATTATAGTCAGATTTAAATGTGATTGGGCATATAAAACTCTTTGAATTTGAATATAAAAATTTTGTGAGCATAAGTTCATGGAGTATACCCGAGTCCCGAGTCCCGGAGTCCATTGACAAGACCCTGTTGGCCTGAATAATATGTTTTTTTTTGGAAGAATTTGAATTGACTTGTCTAAACATTTTTAAATCTAAAGATTAGATTCAACAGTCAATACCGTCCATACTTATATTTGGTATGCGCACGGATATATGACTATTATGATAATATAATTGTATATAAATAATTATTATGCCCCTTAACCAATTTAATATAAACTCATGTTTGTTTACATATATGAAATATATGGGGGTATAAATATCATTTGTTAGCTTAAATCCATTAACCCACATATGAAACCAATAAACTTGGATTTAATTCTCGGGCCTAATACGAGTTGGGTTTCAAACCCTGAACTAATTATGTATTTACTAAACATAGGGTTGTTGGGTTTTATTTCCCAACCTATGTTCCAAAACCCTCCCAAACCTACTTACCAAACAAGCCCTTTGAGGTTTGGGGCAGCATCTAAGAACTTTTTTGGAGTAATTTTTTATTTTTTGTAGTAATTTTGACCCCAATTTGAAAACTAGTTTAAGGGTTGTAATTAACTTTTTTTTTATTAACCTTTGCTGACCATCTAAAGAGAAATGCAAATTGATTTTGTTGATGGATACACACTGTTGTCCACTTTAAGAGATTAAAATAAAAGCTATGGGCAACACTTGAAAATTTTTCCAAAGCAACGCTTTAGAATAAGAATAATGTTATTTTGATTTAATTTTGTGACAAATTCAATATTAACGCTAAATAAGCAATGAGTTTCAAGTAGGGGCAAAGTTAGGATTTTCTCTTGAGGGGACCAAATAGTGTTACATTTATTTAATGTGGGTCATTCAATAACATTGTTAATATCAATTTTTCGTATACATAGAATACATCATAATCAACATCATATGGTACAATATAATTATTATTTTCAATAAAATAAATAAAATTAATTGAAGCTAAGTCAAATAAATAGATGTAAAAATAAACCAAATGCATAAAATAATTATTAATTATATAAGTTGAATTTTATCATCTAACTATTCGAGTACAATTAAATTTCATCATGCTTTTGGCAAATGGAGAGCGAGAGAGATCTAAATAGTTTTGCAGCCTCATAACGTTTACAACAAGGATTTCAATCCTAGGATTAAATTTTATGGAAAGTTATGTGTCAATGCTAGAAAAAAAATGGTAGCATAGCAACATCACCTCCATTTCTTTCTATTTCCTTAGCACAGGCTATAATATATGTGTAGGAATAACTCAGAGGATAAAGGAAAAAAAAAAGTTTGTGTAGTGGTTGAGTCATTATCAATTGTATAATCATTTTCTTTGAGTTTAAGAGCATTACGGAAGAAATTTTTTTCTATATTGGCGGAACCTTATATAACAAAAAACGTAAAGTACCGACACGTTATAGAAAATTGAAGAATAGGGTATAATCATTTTCCTTGAGTTTAGGACCATCACATAAGAAATATTTTTCAGTAACTTTTATTCTATATTGACAGAACCATATAATATACAACATAAAGGTAAAGTACCGACATGTCATCGAAAATTTACGAATAAGGTATAAATTAGTTGGATTATGTGAGCTTAGGCCCATACAGAAAATACACAAATCTTCCTTTGATATGGGTTTGGATCAACAGCACTAACTCTGGCCCATTTGATGATCATGAGCATAGGAGTTGGGAGTGGTAGCCACCTAACATCTATACTACTTTTGAAAAATAGGTACGTTGGAAAAATATTTGTTTTTCTCTTTTACCCTCTAATATTTATTAATTTTCTAAATTATCATGATTAAATATATTATAAATGTTGTTCACCATAAAAATTCATCTACTTATTGAGCAGGTGCAATGACTTTTCCTCTCCTCTTTTTCAGCTCAGCAATCACCATTCATTACGTTTTTCAATGAATTCAGATTAATATACTAATTAGCTGGAGAACAAGAAAAGAATAAATTTTTAGTCATGATTTCTTACTCTTTTGTATTCCAATAACCAAAACGTCATCTTTATAGTTGTTCATCTATGTTCTCCTCATCCATTCAACACGTTACACACACATATTTAGATCTATACTAATAATAAAAGACAACTTAAATTTTTTTTCTAATTTTTCCTCAATTAATATTATAAGGTCAATTTTATCCTTATAAGTCTGGGTCATGGTTTAATGGTATACCTTAACCCGTATAAGTATTAATATTCTTGCTCTATGTATATTCATCAATTAAATTAGCCAAATTTTATCATTAATGAATTAATTGCATATTGATTATACTATAT